TTAGCTTTGTGTTGATTATGGATGGGTGGCGAGATATTCGAGTAGTTATGTGCTCGAGAGTATAATTGTTCATTCTAGCCATTTTATCTTTATATTTGACCTTCCCTCAGCCGAGTGCCTTCTTTATAACCGTGAAGCCCTCTTAATTCGCAAATTCATGTGCTTTGGTTGTTTTAGAGTATGAACTAGACGATAAGCAAGCCTATGTTGAAACTTAGTTGCCGACCAATCTGAGCGTTCCCATTTCATATTTATGTAAGAAACTGAGTGAGTCATTATACATGATATTTCCGTGTTTCAGAGTTTGTCTTGTCAATGCGTACCATTTAAGTTGTAATTGAGATGTGTTTTATTGGTCTTTTGAAGTCTCCTCGGCTAAGTCAATGAATTTGAAACTTTTCTTATTTGAAACCGTATCCATGCTCATGTCTTGTTTTCTTTTCTTTTTGTTCGGGACGAACAAAGGTTTAAGTGTGGGGGAGTTGTTTGTCTCATTTTTGTTGCGTTTTTCGTGTTTATTTTATCTTTCTTTTTCCCTCATTTTAGGTCGTTTCTTTAGTTTTTAGTCCGTTTCGTGTTTTATTATGTGTTTTCCTTCATCTTGAGTCTTTAGGTGTTTTTCGTTTGTTTTTCCGGTTCTCTTTTGTGTTTTGTCGTTTTTGGTGTGTAGGTCAAGAGCTTTGGGCAAATTTTCTCTTCAGGAAAAGTTGGTTTTGAGAGCATAACTGGATAGATGGGTTCGTTGGTGACGCTTAGCAAAAAACGGAACTCAATTCCGAGTTCGGACGAGCCCAAACGAGCTTGAAACGTAAAGCAACGCGCAGCTGCCCAGTTTTCTTCACAGCGGGCAGCGGAGGTGTCCCGCGGCCGCGGAGCCCTTCTGCAGCTAAAGAGTCGCGGCCGCGGAGGTCACGATTCAGCCTTTAAAAACCTGTTTATGCGATTTTTGACAGGAGGAGAAATGGGGGCGATTGGGTGTGAACCCTAGCTCGAAAAACCTCTTCTCCACTCTCCATCTTCTTCTTCTTCTTCTTCTTCTTCTTCTTCTTCTTCTTCTTCTTCTTCTTCTCCATTTCTTTCTCATTTTCTTTTTCTTTACACTTTTGGAATTAAGCTTGTATTTTGGATTCAACGCTTGGATTGAGATTAATTGTAAGTTTTTCTTCTTGTTTAATTCATGAAAATGGTTGAATTGGGAGAAATGATTGATTGTGTTGAATTTATTTTGTGTGGCTAATTCCTATTGCTAGGGATAGGGGATGATTACTCTTGTTTAATTCGTGATTGTTGAGTGTTAATTTGTTCGTTCTTGTGCGAGTTGAATTGATTAGAAATTGGTGAATTCTTGCTTGACATTTGATAATTTGATATAACCTAAGAGTGACACTTAGGTTAATTTATTGATGTAATCGAAGAGTGACACTTCAATTTTGCATTGTAAACGATTGAATATTGATTTGTCGAGTCATGTTTTGTTGATTCTACATGATTAGTTGATTAAACACCTTCTAATTGAATTAGCGACTTTTAGAACCGATAGGGGAGGAGTCGTAGAACTAGGCTCGTATGAGGTAGACATGTTCGGAGACGTATTGTCTATGGGTTTCGGATTGAAGTACACGCTTGTCGATGTCCCTTCCCATGTTACGAAGAGTTATTGGGATTGGATTATTGGCATGTGTTGTATGCTCAAACTTGCTCGTCTATGTTCAATCCCATGTTACGAAGAGTTATTGGGAGCGAACCGCTAGATGTTTAAGCGAGAGTATCAATCTTGAACCGAACGATTAATTGCCCGGCTTTACGTTTCGAACTTGAATAAATTATCCCCGATTCCCTAGTTTCTTTATTATTGTTTAGTTGGTATTTTAGGATTTATACTTTTATGCTATTTCTTAGTTGATAGTTAATTCCTCCCCAATCTGATTAGAGTGTTTATGATTTATTTTTCTTTTTTGTGTTATCAATACAAATTCTAAATTCCGAACCGCCTTCCTCGAGAGATCAACCCGGGAAACGAATCCTTCGATTCGGTACTCGGTAATATAACAATTTGTACACAACACTGGTCTTGCCTGAGCAGAAGTCATATCACGGACAATCTTTTTGGACGGATCGCTAAGGCCGCTCATCTGTCGATGACCCTCGGGATTAACAGCCAACGCATGATTATGCTTTCCCTTCTCATCATCTAAAGGAACCGAGATATACCATTTTTTTGATTGAGAATCAAATTTGACTCTTAACTGAAAAAGGCAGTTGGTCGATTTAGTTTTCGATTTTCTCATAATAGCATTAACTACCTTTCCTACACGGCTTCTGTAACGTTCCCCCCGATCACACCTCAACAACCTATTCTTTCCTTCTTTTTTCGTGTCTCGAGATGACCAATGAGAAACCCCATATGATTGCAATATCTTTTGCCCATTCAATAGCTTCGTCAACACTATCAAATAGATTATTTGTTGTGAAACAAGGTCGGTAATCAAGACCGTCTCCTCCAAAATCTTCGACAGGCGTCTGCAATATATTACGATGTATGTTAATAATTGTACAAAATAATCAATTATAATTCTAGCATAATATCAATAAATTTTATTTTTTAAGATAATCAATTCTAATCAAGATGTTATTATAATAATTAGTACAATAATACTAGTAACTATACTTACTAATTATTATGTTAGTATAAAAAAAAAAATATATTTATAATTAGTATAATCATAATGAATTATATTACTTATAATATAATTTATATGAATTATATTACTTATAATAAATTATATTAGTTATATTAGTGTAATTATATTATATATTAGTAATTACTATTATAAGTTATAATAATCATACTAATTACTATTATAAAATGTATAATATATACTAACTATTAATTTATACTAATATAAGTTTTTGTATTATACTTTATAGTAATTACACTAATTACTAATATAATTTTTTATACACTAATATATACTAATATAGTAATTAGTATA